ACACACACTACAGTTCATACACACAACACACACAACCACACCAACACACACTACAGTTCATACACACAACACACACAACCACACCAACACACACACTACAGTTCATACACACACCACACACAACCACACCAACACACACACTACAGTTCATACACACAACACACACAACCACACCAACACACACACCACAGTTCATACACACAACACACACAACCAAACCAACACACACACCACAGTTCATACACACACCACACACAACCACACCAACACACACACCACAGTTCATACACACAACACACACAACCACACCAACACACACACCACAGTTCATACACACAACACACACAACCACACCAACACACACACCACAGTTCATACACACAACACACACAACCACACCAACACACACACACCACAGTTCATACACACAACACACACAACCACACCAATACACACACACTACAGTTCATACACTACACACAACACACACAACCACACCAACACACACACTACAGTTCATACACACAACACACACAACCACACCAACACACACACTACAGTTCATACACACAACACAAAACCACACCAACACACACACTACAGTTCATACACACAACACAAAACCACACCAACACACACACTACAGTTCATACACACAACACACACAACCACACCAACACACACACTACAGTTCATACACACAACACACACAACCACACCAACACACACTACAATTCATACACACAACAACAACAACCGCCATTCGCCACTAAGTGGCGGTGACGTCACCACGATGCTTGTGCCAGGCCAAGTGCACCTTGAGGCCACGTGAAGTGTCGAAAGCCCGCTGGCAGGAGGTCACGGGGCAGACCCAGGTGCCACGGGTCGACTGACCGAGATGACCGAGATGACTGGCTGATGTACCACCTGTGCCCCCTACTATGCCGACTTGCTGTGCTTTAGCCACCCGGCGCTCCGCTCGTTGTTGTGAGCGTCGCTCCTCCGCCCTCCGTTGTTGTTGGAGGGCGACTGCCTCCAACTGCCCAGTAGCGTCCTTCACGAGCCTCCTCCACTGAGGCCGATCTTGACACCGCTGGTACCAGTCATCGGCAAGTCCACTCAGCTCCACGTCCTCCTGTACCACATCACTCCATCTCTTCTCCAGCCCGTGCCGCGCCCGTCTAGCCCCCTCGATCCGGCCGAACAAAAGCTGTTTAGGCATGCGGTGGCTGGGCATGCGGGCTACATGACCCAGCCAACGCAGCCTTGCCTGCCGGAGGAGCTCACTGATGGGACTTTGCCCAGATCTTTCAAGGATTTGTGAGCTCCTCACACAATCCAGCCTGGTTAAACCCAGGATGGATTGTAGGCAGGCCAGCCTAAATGTTTCCAACCGGCGAAGATGCTCCACCAGGGGGGTCCACGTCTCGCAAGCGTAGAGAAGGGAGGGAATGACCGTGGCCGAGAAGACCTGAAGCTTCGTGCGGAGCGACAGACCAGGTAGCTTCCACACAGCGTTACGCAACCGATGAAAAGATATTGCCGCTCGACTGATTCGGAGTGAGACCTCTGCTGATAGACTGGAGCCGGTCATAAGCACACTGCCCAGGTATGGGAAACTCTCCACTCTCTCCACAACTGCCCCATCACCAATTGGGAGTTGTGGGGGTGGAGTGTCCGATGGTACAAAATACCCAGGCAGGTGCTTAGTTTTGGTGGGGCTGATGGTAAGGCCCCACCTCTTAGTGGCACGCTCCAGTCTCAGCAGCAGCGTCTCCAACTCCTCTTCTGAATGAGCAGCTATTACCAAATCATCGGCATACATAACATGGTTGACCAATAGGGAGCCATCCCTTGATCGCACCCGGGCGTCGATCAGCCTCCCATTATATCTGTACCAAATGGAAATTCCCCCGGTACAGCTATTGAAGGCTTCACGAACTACGCGGTCAAAATAGATGTTAAATAATGTGGGAGCCAGAGGACATCCCTGTCGCACCCCAAGGTGTACAGGGAAAGGCTCCGACTCCCGGCCACGTAGTTTTACCCGGGCCCGCTCACCATCATGAAGGTCCTTAATGATCGTGAGCAGAGGGTCAGGGACTCCGAAAGCACGAAGAACAACCCAGAGCCCAGTCCTACTGATGGTATCATAGGCCTTGACCAGGTCAATAAAGCAGAGATGTAGGTCTTTTTGGAATTCCCTACACCTCTGCTGTAGCAGACGGACAGAAAATATGGCATCTGTGCAGGACCGACCTTTCCTGAAACCAACACAACACACACAACCACACCAACACACACACTACAGTTCATACACACAACACACACAACCACACCAACACACACACTACAGTTCATACACACAACACACAACCACACCAACACACACACTACAGTTCATACACACAACACACAACCACACCAACACACACACTACAGTTCATACACACAACACACACAACCACACCAACACACACACACTACAGTTCATACACACAACACACACAACCACACCAACACACACACCACAGTTCATACACACACCACACCAACACACACACTACAGTTCATACACACAACACACACAACCACACCAACACACACACTACAGTTCATACACACAACACACACAACCACAGCAACACACACACTACAGGTCATACACACAACACACACAACCACACCAACACACACACCACAGTTCATACACACACCACACCACCACACCAACACACACACTACAGTTCATACACACAACACACACAACCACACCAACACACACACCACAGTTCATACACACACCACACCACCACACCAACACACACACTACAGTTCATACACACAACACACACAACCACACCAACACACACACTACAGTTCATACACACAACACACACAACCACACCAACACACACACTACAGGTCATACACACAACACACACAACCACACCAACACACACACCACAGTTCATACACACACCACACACAACCACACCAACACACACACTACAGTTCATACACACAACACACACAACCACACCAACACACACACCACAGTTCATACAACACACACAACCACACCAACACACACATCACAGTTCATACACACACCACACAACACACCAACACACACACCACAGTTCCTACACACAACACACACAACCACACCAACACACACACTACAGTTCATACACACAACACACACAACCACACCAACACACACACACCACAGTTCATACACACAACACACCACACCAACACACACACTACAGTTCATACACACACCACACACAACCACACCAACACACACACCACAGTTCATACACACACCACACACAACCACACCAACACACACACTACAGTTCATACACACACCACACACAACCACACCAACACACACACCACAGTTCATACACACACCACACACAACCACACCAACACACACAACACACACAACCACACCAACACACATAGGGGGCGTCCATAAATGACGTCACGCGATTTTGGACGATTTTTGACCCCCCCCCCCCAGTCATATGGCGTCACAAAAAGTCAGACCCCCCCCTCAAATATGACGTCACAAAGCTTCCCCCCCCCCCCCAAAATAAAACATGCTTCAAATCGCTTTAAACTATTGTCATTGTAGTGCGTATTTAATGTGGCGCTGCACTCTGATGTTGTAGGAGAAAACGTTTATTAAAAAGTCTATTTAATTAAGTAGAACGTGTTGTCTATATTTATTTAAAGTTGCGCATTTTGATGTGACGTCACATTTCTCAACCCCCCCCCCTTCGTATTCACTTTATTTGCATTTTTATTATTTTATTATTGTTACTTTTTTTCTATCTACGTGACTTTACCGAAAGACCCAAAGAATATGAATTCCTGCAGTCACGAAAGCTTGAAGTCAAGTCTAAGAAGAGTAGAGCCACACTGTAGAACTCGGTGATTAGTAAGGTTTCGATGTAAAGCTTTCGTGACTGCAGGGATTCATCTTCTTGTTTCTTTCGGTAAAGTCACGTAGAAGGGAAGTAATAAAGTAATACAAATGAAACATAATAAAATAATTCTCAAGACAGCGTCTGAATGTTCATTCAGACGCTGTCTCCCCGACATACCTGTTCTTCACCTGAGGACGGCTGCTTGCGTTGTGACCGAAACGTCGTGAGAATTATTTTATTGTTTTATTTTTATTATTTTATTATTTCCCTTCTACGTGACTTTACCGAAAGAACCAAGAAGATTAGTAAGGTTGTTCATTAAACGCATTGCCTCAACAATAGTGTGTGCGCCTCTGTAATAGCACACTACGCTAGTAACTAATTGTTACGTTTAGTTTACGTGACAAACCTTACCAATTGGCTGTGTCGGGTGGTGGCAGGTTTAGTGTTTCGCCACGAGGCATCGTGTTTCACGTCGCAAACGCGTGAACGCCCTCTGGGGTCTCTATTGGCTATGATCACTGTTTCACTGCTTTCATGGCTTTATTTTGGTGATTTTGAAAAGTTGTTTTGGTTTGGCTATGTTTGTTTGTTGTAGTACAGAGTTAGACTGATGGCCTTAATCTAAGTTGTCTTGTGGTTGTTGTTGTTGTTTGACTTGCATCCCACTGGGATTTTGCACACAGCGTCGGTGTACGGTGCTTTTTCTGCAATATTTTGCTGTCTTTTCTTGGATTTTCTGTTTGCACATAGTCACATAGTCACTTTGTTTTCTTGTTCATGTTTTTGTTTTTTGTTTGTTGCGGTTGCACCCGATTCAAGAGCCGAATGGCTCACAGGGCTTTATACCTAATACATGGACTTGGACTTGGCGAAAAGTGCAAGCGCAGGTGACGTCACGGGGGAACGGCACGGGTGACGTCACGTACGGGGGGTGGGTCGCTATAAACATGCGCGGGTGACGTCACGGGGGTGAGGAAGAGGCGCGGATGACGTCACGGGAAGGGGGACGAGGCGCGGATGACGTCACGGGAGGGGGGACGAGGCGCGGATGACGTCACGCGAGGGGGGGGACGAGGCGCGGATGACGTCACGCCCGGCGAACGCGCCGCGCAGTGGCGAGGAGCGAGGAAAGGAGCAGGCGCCATGAGCGCCTCGCGGAGCCAGGTGGGGGCTAGGCCGCGTTACCCCGGGGAGACGTTACCCCGGGGGGCTAGGCCGCGTTACCCTGAGGGAGACGTTACCCTGAGGGAGACCATGTTACCCTGAGGGACTAGGCCGCGTTACCCCGGGGAGACGTTACCCTGAGGGAGACCATGTTACCCTGAGGGACTAGGCCGCGTTACCCCGGGGAGACGTTACCCTGGGGAGACCGCGTTAACCTGGGGGAGGCGTTACCCTGGGGGAGACCATGTTACCCTGGGGGAGACCGCGTTACCCTGGGCTAGGCCGCGTTACCCTGGGGAGACGTTACCCTGGGGGAGACCACGTTACCCTGAGGGAGGCCGCGTTACCCTGGGGGAGGCCGCGTTACCATGGGGGAGACGTTACCCTGGGGGGAGACGTTACCCTAGGGAGGCCGGGTTACCCTGGGCTAGGCCGCGTTACCCTGGGGGAGACGTTACCCTGGGGGACACCGCGTTACCTTGTGTGACATGTTACCCTGGGGGAGGCCGCGTTACCCTGGGAGAGACGTTACCCTGGGGGGAGACGTTACCCTGGGCTAGGCCGCGTTACCCTGGGGGAGACGTTTTCCTGGGGAACACCGTGTTACCTTGTGTGACATGTTACCTTGTATGATATGTTACCTTGTATGAGATGTTACCTTGTGTGAGAAGTTGGCATGTGTGAGATGTTACCTTGTGTGACATGTTACCTTGTGTGACATGTTACCTTGTGTGACATGTTACCTTGTGTGACATGTTACCTTGTGTGACATGTTACCTTGTGTGACATGTTACCATGTGTTAGACTTTACCATGTGCAAGATGTTACCTTGCGTGAGACGTTACCCAGTGTGACATGTTACCATGTGTGAGACGTTACCATGTGTGACATGTTACTTTCTGAGAATAGGTTTTCCCCTTGTTTTTGGCAACAAAACAGCTGTGTTAAGATGTTAAAACACCAAACTGAAACCTTTCACAAGGAATCATGTCTGCATTAACCACAATACTTGTGGTCAGAACGCAAACAAAAAACACTGATAATCTATGCATTGTCTTTGAAACCGATTGGTGCACACCAGAGACCGCTTTCTTTGGAGCCGAGTCTCAAAAGGTGTTAGACCAGAGGACGCCAAAAGACTTACATCACAAAGACAAGCACTATCAGACTAATGGGAGCTCGGGGTGAGCAACTACATCATGGGACCTCCTTTGCCAGTACGAAAATATGAGAATAGGTTTTCCCCTTTTTTGCGTTCTGACCACAAGTATTGTGGTTAATGTAGACATGATTCCGTGTGAAAGGTTTCAGTTTGGTGTTTTAACATCTTAACACAACTGTTTTGTTGCCCAAAAAAAGGGGAAAACATATTCTCATATTTTCGTACTGGCAAAGGAGGTCCCATGATGTTACTTTCTGTGAGATGTTACCATGTGTGAGTTGGCAGCGTTGTTCTGTAATGCTGTGAGTTGGTACTATAGCACTAGTATTGGTACTATAGCGCTGTAGTAGTGGTACTATACCACTGTAGTAGTGGTACTATAGTCGCTGTGATACACGGCGTGCCTTCCCCTTTCTCTCTGTTCCGGCGTCTTTTCGTGCGTAGCGTCATCTCGACCCCCTCATCTATTTCACTCGCCACATCTCTCTCCCTTATACACTTTACGCATTAGACTCTCGATTATCCGTGCTAATGACGGGGAGGATGGCCACGGATAATAATCCAAACGTATCCATTTTCCGCAGATCTCTATGGCAAAAAATCAATTATGTCTTCCAATGTACGTGTAATATTCAGTTTCTGATTCAAAGTTAGAACAGTGAAAATTTCAAACTGACAATTTCGATTGTTACCCTTTCAATGTAGAACGAACGCTAACAATGGACCAACCGATGGTTGATGCGCGTGCTTGGTGATGACTCTTTCCTGCTCCCGCCCAGCAGAAGACTGCGCCCACTAAGTGGACAGCAGCAGAGCCACGCCACTCAACATCAAACAAACTCTGCCCACCGTTGTAAATATATGGCAACTACTGTACTGTAGAGGCGATCACGTGGATCTCAGATTAACCGGAGCAACATTTGTTCGGTTTAAGCACATTACTTGTAATAAACATTTCCAAGACTAACAATGTATAACTGTTTTTAGATTGTTAATTTGGGCTTAAGGGAAAATCCATGCGTTATTAATTTATATCAAAATCTCAGGTGCACAGTGAATAAACCGCACGCGGATAATCGAGAGTTGTATTTAAATAAATGACTGTCACACATGGCATATTTATAAACGCAACAAATGTAAAAGTAAAAATGTTTAACCTTTGTATTGTCAAATATAAACAATAAAATAAACATTTGGAATGGCACCGCTACCGTTATCGCTTACGAGCAGCAAAATTACGCAGCACTTTGCAGGAACGCAACCCCCGCGTTAAGCGAGGACTTTTCTGCGGTTGTATTATTTTATTTCAACCGTGCAATGTGCTGGTGTACCTCCTAATCCTCGCAGCCTCTACGATTCCTCTTTATAATTCACTCTTCCAGCAAGGGTCAAAGGTCCCCCCCACACTTGAGGCTTTCATGAGTCGGAGCATTTATACATTAAAAAAATGTCAAAACGCGCCGCGGGAAAACCGTACCTCCGTTGGTTCTCCAGCCTCGTTAAGGGTGCAGTCATTTCTAAGTTTTATCATGTTGACAGATACAATCAGTTGTGTTTTACGTGTGTCATGGGATGTATGACTTATTTATTTTGATTTTGGAGGGTCCGACATGGGTTATGTTGTGTGCGTACGATTGAGTTATATTTATTTCCCCCAATGTAAATCATGCAGCAGTTGATGTCAGTTGATGTGCTCCATCATTGCGACACGTGTGCATGCAGGATGTGTCCTTACAGGAGCCTGAGAAGGCACCGCAAGAATCCAGAACAGAATCGACGGTTTCACCTGATCACCGACCGGAGGGCAAGCCCGCGGAGAAGTTAAGCAACGCATCCCAGCCTTTGGACGACGATGCTTCCGCAAAAGAGTCACGCCTTCAGCAGCGTTCCAAAAAAGAATCCCAAGTGGCTGAATGTCCAGAAGGCGAGTCCCAGCCTTCGCTCGGTTCTCGCAAGCCAAGCGAAGAGTCGGTGGACGCGCGGCGCGGCAGTGCAGATGCTGACTGCGAGCGGAAAGTTGCGGAGGTTGAGGGTGACGCGGGAGGAGAGGGCTCCCGGGCGCTGCAGGCCGGAGCGGAGGGCGAGCGCAGCAGCAGCAGCAGCAACGCGGTGATGATGACCGCGCGGGACGCGGCGCGCATCAGCAACGCCTCCATGCTGCTTCTCGACGCCGCGGAGCGCAGCAGCCACCGCCTGTGGATTGGAAACATCGACCTGCGGGTCACGGAGTGAGTCGAGCGTTGGGCGAACGTACGTGTGCAGCACACGTACACACACACACGTGCATGCGTGTGCAGCACATGTACACACACACACGTGCATGCGTGTGCAGCACATGTACACACACACACGTGCATGCGTGTGCAGCACATGTACACACACACACGTGCATGCGTGTGCAGCACATGTACACACACACACATGCATGCGTGTGCAGCACATGTACACACACACACGTGCATGCGTGTGCAGCACACGTACACACACACGCGTGCATGCGTGTGCAGCACACGTACACACACACACGTGCATGCGTGTGCAGCACATGTACACACACACACGTGCATGCGTGTGCAGCACATGTACACACACACACGTGCATGCTAGTGCAGCACATGTACACACACACACGTGCATGCGTGTGCAGCACATGTACACACACACGTGCATGCGTGTGCAGCACATGTACACACACACGCGTGCATGCGTGTGCAGCACATGTACACACACACACGTGCATGCGTGTGCAGCACACGTACACACACACGCGTGCATGCGTGTGCAGCACATGTACACACACACACGTGCATGCGTGTGCAGCACACGTACACACACACGCGTGCATGCGTGTGCAGCACATGTACACACACACACGTGCATGCGTGTGCAGCACATGTACACACACACGTGCATGCGTGTGCAGCACATGTACACACACACACGTGCATGCGTGTGCAGCACATGTACACACACACACGTGCATGCGTGTGCAGCACATGTACACACACACACGTGCATGCGTGTGCAGCACACGTACACACACACACGTGCATGCGTGTGCAGCACACGTACACACACACGCGTGCATGCGTGTGCAGCACACGTACACACACACACGCGTGCATGCGTGTGCAGCACACGTACACACACACGCGTGCATGCGTGTGCAGCACACGTACACACACACACGCGTGCATGCGTGTGCAGCACACGTACACACACACACGCGTGCATGCGTGTGCAGCACACGTACACACACACACGCGTGCATGCGTGTGCAGCACACGTACACACACACGCGTGCATGCGTGTGCAGCACACGTACACACACACGCGTGCATGCGTGTGCAGCACACGTACACACACACGCGTGCATGCATGTGCAGCACACGTACACACACACGCGTGCATGCATGTGCAGCACACGTACACACACACGCGTGCATGCATGTGCAGCACACGTACACACACACGCGTGCATGCATGTGCAGCACATGTACACACACACACGTGCATGCTAGTGCAGCACATGTACACACACACACGTGCATGCGTGTGCAGCACATGTACACACACACACGTGCATGCGTGTGCAGCACACGTACACACACACGCGTGCATGCGTGTGCAGCACACGTACACACACACACGTGCATGCGTGTGCAGCACATGTACACACACACACGTGCATGCGTGTGCAGCACATGTACACACACACACGTGCATGCTAGTGCAGCACATGTACACACACACACGTGCATGCGTGTGCAGCACATGTACACACACACGTGCATGCGTGTGCAGCACATGTACACACGCGTGCATGCGTGTGCAGCACATGTACACACACACACGTGCATGCGTGTGCAGCACACGTACACACACACGCGTGCATGCGTGTGCAGCACATGTACACACACACACGTGCATGCGTGTGCAGCACACGTACACACACACGCGTGCATGCGTGTGCAGCACATGTACACACACACGCGTGCATGCGTGTGCAGCACATGTACACACACACACGTGCATGCGTGTGCAGCACATGTACACACACACACGTGCATGCGTGTGCAGCACATGTACACACACACACGTGCATGCGTGTGCAGCACATGTACACACACACACGTGCATGCGTGTGCAGCACACGTACACACACACACGTGCATGCGTGTGCAGCACACGTACACACACACACGCGTGCATGCGTGTGCAGCACACGTACACACACACGCGTGCATGCGTGTGCAGCACACGTACACACACACACGCGTGCATGCGTGTGCAGCACACGTACACACACACGCGTGCATGCGTGTGCAGCACACGTACACACACACACGCGTGCATGCGTGTGCAGCACACGTACACACACACACGCGTGCATGCATGTGCAGCACACGTACACACACGCGTGCATACATGTGCAGCACACGTACACACACACGTGTGCATGCGTGTGCAGCACACGTACACACACACGCGTGCATGCATGTGCAGCACACGTACACACACACGCGTGCATGCATGTGCAGCACACGTACACACACACGCGTGCATGCATGTGCAGCACACGTACACACACACGCGTGCATGCATGTACAGCACACGTACACACACACGCGTGCATGCATGTGCAGCACACGTACACACACACGCGTGCATGCATGGCAGGTAGATCATCGATTATCCGGGGTGGACGGAGCACCGCATTTTAAAAAATGCCAGGTAATTGCTAATCATCATTATTATCATCAACTTAGCTTATTTTTTCACATTCTTGTAAGACATTGTCTGTAGGTGTTTTAAATTTGTTTACTGTATGAAATTGGCATGAATAAATATACAAATAGACGAATAAACATCCTACTTTCAAAGTTACTGTATTTTCTGTACCGTACTTACCACTGCAATCTCGAAGACTCTGCATGTATATACTTGCAGTATTTTCATTGTTGTATGTAGTGTATAATGTACTTTATTTCACATTTAACACTGAAATCAAATGCAGCTACTTTTATTGTCACGCACGCAGTGCCGATCGCCAGACTGGGTACAGTCTTTGGAGCGATTTTTCCAGTTTCGCCGGATTGGCACGGGACCGCCAGATCTTGTTGGAAACCGCCAAATAATCGCGTGCCGGATAATCGATGATCAACTGTATGTTGAACTTCTTTCGCACTCTACGTAGGCAACCGTGCTAATCGGAGGTGCGTACATATCCATTGTTATGCCGCACTTATTTTACTCCTATACCCTTTCATCTCCACCAGCCTGGTCTAGCCGGCGTTGTGACGTATGGGTAAAATAATCCCCGTGGCATGGGTTGACCAAAGGCTGAAAACGGTAGATGTCATTGATTTGATATTTGCAGAGGGGCCTAATCGAAGTCGATGCCTCTCATTGGAGACCAAAATCTCTGCTTCACTCTCACCGCTTGGGGCTTACGGATCATATGGAGGTGCACAGAATCGTACGCTCGCGATGTGCATGGTGGTGGTTCTCCTTTGAGATTGATCCAATCTATGTTTATGTTGAAATGAGAGCGCCTTCGCTCAAGGCGATTTACGTCGTTTCAAAATAAATTAGTTGGCAGGGGCATACAACGGTTGAGAAATGAATGACCATGAAAGGGGAGGGAAGGAAGTGAATGGGGCGAGGGGGAGTGAGAAGGGCAGAGAGTGGGCGAGAGAAAATAGATGTGGCCTTAAACTGAAGGGGAGGTCTGGGCATTTCCGCCAATGCTTTATCCTGGCTCCAATCATATCTCTCTCTCTTCACGCTCATCCTCGGTCTCCTTCAATCACTCCTCCTGCACCCCTGCTTCACCCGTCACATTAAGTGTTCCCCAAGGCTCTGTCCTGGGCCCCACTTCTCTTCTCTGTCTGCAGCTCTCCTCTCGAAACACTCATCTCCACCTTTCACTTCTTCCACCACTTCTTCACCGACGACTTCCAAATATTCTCCTCTTTCTCCACTTGCACTCCGGACCTCTCTTCTCGCATTTCCGCCTGCCTAACCGCCCTTCAATCTTGATGTCGCTTCGCCTCCTTGCCATCATCAACCCCTCTAAAACCCAGCTTCTCTTTTTCCCCGCTGCTCTTTCCCCCTCCACACACCCCCGCCATCACCTTCCCACCCTTCTCACTCACCCCTGTCCCTTCTGCCCACAACCTTGGTGTCCTCTTTGACCCCTCCTTTCCCTCACCTCTCACGTCTCCGCCATCACCCGCACTTATCGTTTCCACCTTGTCAACTTTCGCGAAATAGGCCCTCTCATCCCTCAGTCGGCGGCCAAACTACAAATACACTCACTCATTCCCTCGGCTAGAATACTGTTACTCTCTCCTGCTCGGTCTCCCAGAAAATGCATTCATTCCACTACAACAGATCCAAAATGCGTCTGCACATTTAATTTACAACCTACCACACTGCTCCCGCACCCCTCTGCCCTTCTTATAGAAATGCTCTGGCTCCCCTTCTACCCGCTGTCTATTCAAGCTCCTTACGCTGGTATTTAAATCTCTGCATGGCCTTGCCCCACCTTACCTCGCTTCCCTCATCTCGGTTTATGTCCCCTCCCACCTGCTCCACTCTTGATCTCTCCTGCCACTCCTAACCGTCCCCCCTTCTCCTTGTGCACAATCGCCGTTTCTGCTCCTTTTCCCTACTTGCCCCCTTGCACTGACACAAACTTCCCCTCCATATAAAGCAGCGATCACCTTCCCTGTCTAGTTACCGCTCCTCCCTCAAGACCTCCACCTCATCTCCCTGGCCCATCCTTCCCTGGGCACCCCCATAATTCCGGTACCCACTAACCACCCTCATACCCCATCCCTATTCACCGTATCACTTTTAGTTACCCTAATTGTACCACTCATAACCCTTGTAAAGTGCTTTGGATTAAAGCGCTATATAAATATAAGATAAGATGTACACATGGTGTCAAGCACGTTTCGTAATCAATCGTGCCACACGTCCCACCAACAGGTCCAGAGTTTGCCTGCCTATTCACATGCTGCTAGAAATCGTTGACCTTTCTCCGTGGATTATTTCGCCATGCACAGCCCCTGGCCTTGCTGTGGTGCCTCTAGGCTGTCAATCTTGTTTGGCATAATTTAACACTTTTGTATTTGTCGTTTGTCTGCATGCTCCGTTGTTAACGCATGTGTAGTTTTAGACTGACTCTTAAGAGTACAGTAGTCCCTTGGTTAACAGTAACTTGGTTAACGGTTTTCTGATTAATGTTTCGCCTCCCATAGGGACCTCCCCATGGTTTAGACTAATTTTTTAATTGTGATTAATGGCAGGTTTACGTTATGCACGCAGTGGTGCCAGTTTCAGCCAATCGGAGCGCTCGTAAGCGGGGCTCAGCCAAGCCCTCAGCCAATCAGCGACGCACCATTTATTAGCGTTTAGACCTCGACTGGCTTTGTTCACATTGTGTTTTCTGTTTTGACAGGGAAGACCGCTCTCTTGCAGACTCAGTGATTTTTACTTATTTTTACAACGTTCGATTAACAGTTATTTCGGTTCACGGACTACGGTATGCACGCGTCTACTTTGGCGAGCACATTTTCTCGCCTTTGTATTCATTATGCCTGCGCGTGCGTTTGTTTGCGCGCGACAGATTTCACCTGTTAAAGATCCTGCAAAAGTTTGGCCACATCAAGGAGTTTGACTTTTTATTCCACAAATCGGGTCCTTTGGAAGGCCAGCCTCGAGGATACTGCTTTGTGAACTACGAGACGAGACCGGTAAGAGCAAATACATACACACAGCCACACACACATGTTGTGACTTACTACTGATACGTACACACACCACACACACGCGCTGTGACTTACTACTGATACGTACACACACCACACACACGCGCTGTGACTTACTACTGATACGTACACACACCACACACACGCGCTGTGACTTACTACTGATACGTACACACACCACACACACGCGCTGTGACTTACTACTGATACGTACACACAGCCACACCACACACACACACGGTGTGACTTACTACAAATACATACACACAGCTACGCACCACACACACACATGGTGTGACTTACATCTAATACGTACACACAGCCACACCACACACACACACGGTGTGACTTACTACAAATACGTACACACAGCTACGCACCACACACACACACGGTGTGACTTACATCTAATACGTACACACAGCCACACACACATGGTGTGACTTACATCTAATACGTACACACAGCCACACCACACACACACATGGTGTGACTTACATCTAATACATACACACAGCTACGCACCACACACACACATGGTGTGACTTACTACTAATATGTACACACAGCCACACACACACACACGGTGTGACTTACTACTGATACGTACACACACCACACACACACGGTGTGACTTACTACTGATACGTACACACACCACACACACCGTGACGTACTACTAATATGTACACACAGCCACACACACACATGCAGTGTGACTTACTACTAATACGTACACACTGCCACCACCACTCACACATGATGTGACTTACTACGGATCGCGTCAAACATCTCAAGAAATTAGTTTTCAATCTTGATGATGATTTAAAAGTGCGTCGCTCCAGTGGCTTCCTAACATTGGAAGGAAGAGTTCCAAACGGTCTCAGAAGCGCATGTGAAAGCGTGCGATGGAGTGGCCGTCTTATTTTCGATGGTTGGCCAGAAGCCGCTGTTGCGAGGATGACCGGAGTTTGCGTGATGGTTAATGCTCCTTGATGAGAAGAATAGAGAATAGGAACGGTTCTGGAAGGTGCCGGTCCTTTGCGATCAGTGTTCTTAATTTGTGTACTGGCACAGTTTCTACCACCGCTTGTCTGTTAACCCTGTGCATGGTTGAGTGCGTCCTAACGCGTTGTGTCTCGTTGCGATCTCTCTGTGTGTGTGCATGGCCGTCAGGAAGCGGAACGTGCCATACAGCACCTGAACGGGAAGCTGGCTCTCTCACGCCCGCTTGTCGTCCGCTGGGCACATGCGAAGTTTGCGGTGAGTGCCCGCGCTTTTGGCATTCACTAATCTTGGCGGATCTCAACCAGCGGAACGCTGGTTGAGATGCTACACCTCTCTCAATAAAATGAATGCCGAGCCTCTTGCTCGTTCCGAGATTCAGCGGTGAACGGGACAACCCACCCTGCAACTTGCAGACGTCTCGGAAATGTGTTACCAGCGAGCGTGTGCAGAGTTTGCTTGCAATGATTACATTGTATGTATGAAGGTTGAACTTCTATCGCACCGTACGTAGCCAACCGTGCTCATCGGAGGTGCGGGGGAAGGACAACAAACTAAACACATAAAGCAGTTTGGGGACCTCATTTGCCAGTAAAAATATGATAATTGGTTCTTTACCCTTCTATCTGGCAACAAAACTGACACCTTTTTGCAAGGAGTCATGTTTGCATAGACCGCAATACCTGCAGTCATAATACAAACAAAAGAACATAACTCTGATAATGTGCACTGTCCTTGAAGTTGATTGGTCCACACCCGAGACAGCTTTCCTTCGAGCCTAGTCTCATATGGGTTGGACCAGATGACGCCAAAAGGCGCACAACTCAAGGACAATGCACCATCAGAGTATGAGAGCTCGGGGCAAGCATCTACACTATGGGGACCTCATTTGCCAGTAAAAATATGATAATTGGTTCTTTACCCTTCTATCTGGCAACAAAACTGACACCTTTTTGCAAGGAGTCATGTTTGCATAGACCGCAATACCTGCAGTCATAATACAAACAAAAGAACATAACTCTGATAATGTGCACTGTCCTTGAAGTTGATTGGTCCACACCCGAGACAGCTTTCCTTCGAGCCTAGTCTCATATGGGTTGGACCAGATGACGCCAAAAGGCGCACAACTCAAGGACAATGCACCATCAGAGTATGAGAGCTCGGGGCAAGCATCTACACTATGGGGACCTCATTTGCCAATAAAAATATGATAATTGGTTCTTTACCCTTCTATCTGGCAACAAAACTGACACCTTTTTGCAAGGAGTCATGTTTGCATAGACCGCAATACCTGCAGTCATAATACAAACAAAAGAACATAACTCTGATAATGTGCACTGTCCTTGAAGTTGATTGGTCCACACCCGAGACAGCTTTCCTTCGAGCCTAGTCTCATATGGGTTGGACCAGATGACGCCAAAAGGCGCACAACTCAAGGACAATGCACCATCAGAGTATGAGAGCTCGGGGCAAGCATCTACACTATGGGGACCTCATTTGCCAGTAAAAATATGATAATTGGTTCTTTACCCTTCTATCTGGCAACAAAACTGACACCTTTTTGCAAGGAGTCATGTTTGCATAGACCGCAATACCTGCAGTCATAATACAAACAAAAGAACATAACTCTGATAATGTGCACTGTCCTTGAAGTTGATTGGTCCACACCCGAGACAGCTTTCCTTCGAGCCTAGTCTCATATGGGTTGGACCAGATGACGCCAAAAGGCGCACAACTCAAGGACAATGCACCATCAGAGTATGAGAGCTCGGGGCAAGCATCTACACTATGGGGACCTCATTTGCCAGTAAAAATATGATAATTGGTTCTTTACCCTTCTATCTGGCAACAAAACTGACACCTTTTTGCAAGGAGTCATGTTTGCATAGACCGCAATACCTGCAGTCATAATACAAACAAAAGAACATAACTCTGATAATGTGCACTGTCCTTGAAGTTGATTGGTCCACACCCGAGACAGCTTTCCTTCGAGCCTAGTCTCATATGGGTTGGACCAGATGACGCCAAAAGGCGCACAACTCAAGGACAATGCACCATCAGAGTATGAGAGCTCGGGGCAAGCATCTACACTATGGGGACCTCATTTGCCAGTAAAAATATGATAATTGGTTCTTTACCCTTCTATCTGGCAACAAAACTGACACCTTTTTGCAAGGAGTCATGTTTGCATAGACCGCAATACCTGCAGTCATAATACAAACAAAAGAACATAACTCTGATAATGTGCACTGTCCTTGAAGTTGATTGGTCCACACCCGAGACAGCTTTCCTTCGAGCCTAGTCTCATATGGGTTGGACCAGATGACGCCAAAAGGCGCACAACTCAAGGACAATGCACCATCAGAGTATGAGAGCTCGGGGCAAGCATCTACACTATGGGGACCTCATTTGCCAGTAAAAATATGATAATTGGTTCTTTACCCTTCTATCTGGCAACAAAACTGACACCTTTTTGCAAGGAGTCATGTTTGCATAGACCGCAATACCTGCAGTCATAATACAAACAAAAGAACATAACTCTGATAATGTGCACTGTCCTTGAAGTTGATTGGTCCACACCCGAGAAGGGTAAAGAACCAATTATCATATTTTTACTGGCAAATGAGGTCCCCATAGTGTAGATGCTTGCCCCGAGCTCTCATACTCTGATGGTGCATTGTCCTTGAGTTGTGCGCCTTTTGGCGTCATCTGGTCCAACCCATATGAGACTAGGCTCGAAGGAAAGCTGTCTCGGGTGTGGACCAATCAACTTCAAGGACAGTGCACATTATCAGAGTTATGTTCTTTTGTTTGTATTATGACTGCAGGTATTGCGGTCTATGCAAACATGACTCCTTGCAAAAAGGTGTCAGTTTTGTTGCCAGATAGAAGGGTAAAGAACCAATTATCATATTTTTACTGGCAAATGAGGTCCCCATAGTGTAGATGCTTGCCCCGAGCTCTCATACTCTGATGGTGCATTGTCCTTGAGTTGTGCGCCTTTTGGCGTCATCTGGTCCAACCCATATGAGACTAGGCTCGAAGGAAAGCTGTCTCGGGTGTGGACCAATCAACTTCAAGGACAGTGCACATTATCAGAGTTATGTTCTTTTGTTTGTATTATGACTGCAGGTATTGCGGTCTATGCAAACATGACTCCTTGCAAAAAGGTGTCAGTTTTGTTGCCAGATAGAAGGGTAAAGAACCAATTATCATATTTTTACTGGCAAATGAGGTCCCCATAGTGTAGATGCTTGCCCCGAGCTCTCATACTCTGATGGTGCATTGTCCTTGAGTTGTGCGCCTTTTGGCGTCATCTGGTCCAACCCATATGAGACTAGGCTCGAAGGAAAGCTGTCTCGGGTGTGGACCAATCAACTTCAAGGACAGTGCACATTATCAGAGTTATGTTCTTTTGTTTGTATTATGACTGCAGGTATTGCGGTCTATGCAAACATGACTCCTTGCAAAAAGGTGTCAGTTTTGTTGCCAGATAGAAGGGTAAAGAACCAATTATCATATTTTTACTGGCAAATGAGGTCCCCATAGTGTAGATGCTTGCCCCGAGCTCTCATACTCTGATGGTGCATTGTCCTTGAGTTGTGCGCCTTTTGGCGTCATCTGGTCCAACCCATATGAGACTAGGCTCGAAGGAAAGCTGTCTCGGGTGTGGACCAATCAACTTCAAGGACAGTGCACATTATCAGAGTTATGTTCTTTTGTTTGTATTATGACTGCAGGTATTGCGGTCTATGCAAACATGACTCCTTGCAAAAAGGTGTCAGTTTTGTTGCCAGATAGAAGGGTAAAGAACCAATTATCATATTTTTACTGGCAAATGAGGTCCCCATAGTGTAGATGCTTGCCCCGAGCTCTCATACTCTGATGGTGCATTGTCCTTGAGTTGTGCGCCTTTTGGCGTCATCTGGTCCAACCCATATGAGACTAGGCTCGAAGGAAAGCTGTCTCGGGTGTGGACCAATCAACTTCAAGGACAGTGCACATTATCAGAGTTATGTTCTTTTGTTTGTATTATGACTGCAGGTATTGCGGTCTATGCAAACATGACTCCTTGCAAAAAGGTGTCAGTTTTGTTGCCAGATTGAAGGGTAAAGAACCAATTATCACATAAAGCAGTTTTGAAGAAATAACTTTGAAATTTACGGTTAAAAGTGCATTGTTCCAGTGGCTTCCGTATTACCGGGAGGAAGAGCGTTCCAAACGGCCGCAGAAGTGCACCTGAACGCGTGCAATGTATGAGAATCTAAACAAGTTACGGCGGTTTGTAGTGGAGTTCTATGAACTCGATGACTTGTCTCACGAATGGAACCTTGCGTGTTTTCTGTGAAATGTGCAGCAAGGATATGAGTATCCAAAGAAGGAGGTGGTCATGCCGACAAGCTTGGAGCCGTCGACCAGTGAGCCACCAGCCCCCGTACAGACGAGCCTCAGGTGTGTGCGTGCGGACATTTGTATGCGGTCATATGCGCGCTCTCGCCAAGTGAGCCACCTTTTTCTGTTCCCGCTCAGTCCACCGTCTTCTCCGAGCCACCGAAGCCACCGTCGCAACGTGCCAAACGGCGTCCACGGGGCTTGGAGTTTTGCTGGTGCAAGCAACGAAGTTAAAACGTCACGATACAAAAGAGTATATGCAATAAATGAAAGTACATATCAGAATCTGAATACTGGAGGAATCCGATGAGCTATGAAGCTCTTTTTCACAGATGTCTAGGTAATGAAACTGGGCATCCTTGCAAATGAGATTTTCCATCTGATGGGATTTTCCAGGTGGAATATGTCATAAATCAACAGCTCCTGTATTGGAATTGAGGCTTTCAAGAAACAACGCGAACCCACTTAACCTGGATGCATTAATATCCGCAGTCGAGCATTGACCATGTCACCATGAGCAATAAACCAGTTTGTTTTTTTACACAATTGTTGAGCACAGTCCCAAAATCACAAAACATAAATAGCCAGCAGCAAATGGCACGATAAAAGTTGTCCTAGGTAAGGGTAACACGTTTTTGAATGGAGCACAAAAGGTTATTTGGGCTTCGAAAAAAAGAGGTGAAACTGTGTGTTGTTCAGAGATTGTCAAAGGATTGAGTCTGACCAGCTCAAGGGACCCCTTTCTACCAAATTATTTGATGGGCCTGCGTCGGCAGTGGTGGCGCACAAGCACAAATAACATCAGCACTATATTCTTGGTTCTTTCGGTAAAGTCACGTGACTTGACCGAAAGAACCAAGAATATGAATCCCTGCAGTCACGAAAGCTTTAAATCAAAACATCAGCACTGTCGCCTTGAAAGAAAAAAATATAGGATAGATGAAAACATACCACATGCGACGTTTCGGCCAGTGGCCCCTTCGCATGTGCTATGAAAAAGGGCCTGAAAAGTATGGCATTACATTTCTATTCTTTTGTTTATTTTTTTTCGACCCATTGTTCACAGAGTAGACCGTGTCTGCCTTGACTCGTCACTCTGCACTGAGCAGGACCGTGTCTGCCTCGACTCATCACTCTGCACTGACCAGGACTGTGTCTGCCTTGACTCGTCACTCTGCACTGAGCAGGACTGTGTCTGCCTTGACTCGTCACTCTGCACTGAGCAGGACTGTGTCTGCCTTGACTCGTCACTCTGCACTGACCAGGACTGTGTCTGCCTCGACTCATCTCTCTGCACTGACCAGGACTGTGTCTGCCTTGACTCGTCACTCTGCACTGACCAGGACTGTGTCTGCCTTGACTCTTCACTCTGTACTGACCAGGGCTGTGTCTGCCTTAACTCATCACTCTGCACTGACCAGGGCTGTGTCTGCCTCGACTCTTCACTCTGTACTGACCAGGGCTGTGTCTGCCTTGACTCATCACTCTGCACTGACCAGGGCTGTGTCTGCCTCGACTCGTCACTCTGCACTGAGCAGGACCGTGTCTGCCTTGACTCGTCACTCTGCACTGACCAGGGCTGTGTCTGCCTTGACTCTTCACTCTGTACTGACCAGGGCTGTGTCTGCCTCGACTCGTCACTCTGCACTGAGCAGGACCGTGTCTGCCTTGACTTGTCACACTGCACTGACCAGGACTGTGTCTGCCTCGACTCGTCACTCTGCACTGACCAGGACTGTGTCTGCCTCGACTCGTCACTCTGCACTCACCAGGGCTGTGTCTGCCTTGACTCTTCACTCTGTACTGACCAGGACTGTGTCTGCCTCGACTCGTCACTCTGCACTGAGCAGGACCGTGTCTGCCTTGACTTGTCACACTGCACTGACCAGGACTGTGTCTGCCTTGACTCATCACTCTGCACTGACCAGGACTGTGTCTGCCTTGACTCTTCACTCTGTACTGACCAGGGCTGTGTCTGCCTTGACTCATCACTCTGCACTGAGCAGGACTGTGTCTGCCTTGACTCATCACTCTGCACTGACCAGGACTGTGTCTGCCTCGACTCGTCACTCTGCACTGAGCAGGACCGTGTCTGCCTTGACTTGTCACACTGCACTGACCAGGACTGTGTCTGCCTTGACTCGTCACTCTGTACCGAGCAGAACCGTCACTCTACTGAGCACTGCTATTCACGCAAAACTCTCGGCACTCGCCGTTAGTGAAAGGAGTATCTCGTAATTCCTTTGAATGGCATCTTGACGAAACGGCTGTGTTGTGTTGAGTCTGGTGGTGATCCATCCGATGGCCATCAGGAGTTGCTGGTTGTTATCGCATGCGTAACCTTGTCTGTAAGCGGTCGTGTTACACGACGAGCAGATTTCACTTCACCACACTCACAATGGGGGGGCGACTTTTTCATTCCACGATTGTGCAGGAAATAGCCACGCCTGCCACGTGTTCACGTAAGGAGTAGGCACTCTGGTTAGATTTTCAATTTGTAGACTAAATAGGCCGGGGATCTCTGAAGTCAACAAACCAACGTGTTTAGCAATCTAGCAGCGAGGAAACTCGTGATCTGCAGTTGTTTGATTTATAAATATCATTGACAGTCCATAATAGAGGTTTTTTTGGGTTAGATCGTGTAAATATACATTTCTCATTAAACCCGCCACCACCCGACACAGCCAATTGGTAAGGTTTGTCACGTGAACAAAACGTGCCAATTCGTTACTAGTACAGCACACCGCTTGTGTGTTGGAGAGTAAACCCACTACAACATTTACAATTCGAGTACCGTGACGCTTTTGCTTTATTTACAACAACCAGCCTCATCAGGCGACAGCCAGAACAACGGAACAATTCTGGCCAATATTGCTCGCAAAAGCCTCCATGCCATTGGAGAAGTACTGGTTGTGATTTCAAGTGAACAGCCATTGGTGGTTTTCCTGTAACTCTCCGACCACAACAGCTTAGCGGTTGCACACTGTAAATTATCCCTGCGCTGGACTCGTCTTGGTCGGCATGGAAGAAGAGACCAATGACCTCCTGAGAGCTCCCTCGAGCGGGGACACACTCACGGCCGGCAGCGGCGTGCGCAAGCAGTTGCGGGGCTGCCCCTTTACGCTTACCCCTCGTGTGAGCGCGCGTGCGCGTGTCCGTATCCGTGCGTTCACAGTGCCGCCCCCTTTGTCGTTGCGTGCGCGCAGCATCAATGCCAAGATCCAGGCGATCGAGGCGAAGCTGAAGATGATGGAGGAGAACCCCGACATGGAGTATTGCCCCTCTCCGGAGTCCAACCCCCTCTTCTACATCAACCGAGTTGCGGGCAACGCCGCGGACGGGGGCAGGCCCGAGCGGCGGCCGTGGACTGACCGGCGAGGCCGGGGGGCCCCCTACCGCTCACATTACTCCCGCGGGGGGCGCAGATAACACGGTCACGTACACACACACACGTATATTAGCACGGACATGTACACGTACACACACACACACACGTCTATTAGCACGGACATGTACACGTACACACACACACACGTCTATTAGCACGGTCATGTACACACACACACACACGTCTATTAGCACGGACATGTACACGTACACACACACACACGTCTATTAGCACGGACATGTACACGTACACACACACACACGTCTATTAGCACGGACATGTACACACACACACACACGTCTATTAGCACGGACATGTACACGTACACACACACACGTCTATTAGCACGGACATGTACACACATGTGTATTAGCAAGATCATAACAAAGACAAAGATCCCCCATATATCCTTAAACAGACTGTTAGGGCAAGTGCTTTGAAGGCCGACACGGCACACGACTGGGTAGGTGGCCAACACCACGCCCGACCGCCTTTGTCTCCCCAGTGGTGATATTTTACACACGGCACCAGGTACTCATTTGAGGCTGAGTCGACCTAGGGGAGGCCCAGCACTGGTTCAGAGCGTGAAGCAAACTGGGGTCGTCGGGTTTGTAGCGCAGCTCGCTACTGCTCCCCTACCCCCACTCCCTTACCCCCACTCCCTTACCCCGCTTCTTTACATGAACACGTACACACACACACACGTCTATTAGCACGATCATGTACACACGTCTGTCAGTACAGTCATGTACACACACACGTCCGTTTTGCACGTGTCACACGTATATGCACATTATACGAGCATGCACTGTGCATTCACGAGCACACCTACACGGTTGTTTGCATACACCCTCGCACATTTGCACACGCATGTGGTTGTGTGTACAGGTGTGTGCGGGTTGTGTGTGCGCATCCATACGAGTGTTGATCAAAACGTTCGTAGCCTGACAGAGAAGGTGCTGACCAACCTCGATCTAATTTGTCTACATGACTGCCTGAAAGTGCAGTGCACTAAATCGACACCTTGCCAGGCCTTGAGCTATTTTAAGTCTAAATCCGAACACAGACGGCTTACCTTATTTTCTCCGCAAATGATACGGTGATTGTGGATGGATATAGAAGTCACTGGGAACCAGGTCTAGCGAGTGAGTTTTCTACAAATGTCTTGCGTCTTTTTATATTTTTGCATTTATGGTTAACACAAAAATTTGTTCAGTCTTTGTAAAATAACAGGGTCCATTTGTTGCGCTTTCAACCACACACACTGTCAGCCCACTGGACCTTTTGATCGGCCCTTGTACCTGCAGTCAGTGCACGTGTCGGATATTACCCAGCGCGTAAATCCCCAATACACATGGCAGCACTACTAACAGCGAATTTATTATCTCAAGCCAAACGCCACTGCCGATGTGTCAGCCGCAATCAACGGTGCGGCGCTTCGTAAAGTCGTGTCCACGGCGGGCGAGCGAGCGAGCGTCCTTCCCGAGTGCAGGGGTGATTCACACTGTGCTCTGGAGCCAGCAGCTGGATTTACAATCTTAGACGTCGGCTTATAGTCTCGCTTATGCTTCGGTAACAAAAAGTCGCAGCGTTTACTTTTGTTGCTAAGTAGCATGGGGAAACCGGCGACGCATGGCGAGAGAGAGGCGGCCAGCCCTGGTGAGAGGGACATGTCCACAGCGCCATCTCCTCCCCGGGTCGCCCCACACCCTCGGAACAGCCAGGACAGCCGTCGCCGGCTCGCAAGAGCCGCCGACTCCGAACCACGTGACTACCCCCTGTGTGAAGATCTGGCCGATCTCAGGTGGTCGCGGTGCTGAGATTTCCCCATCCGGCTGCCCTCTCTTCTTGATGGATTTTAAAAAATATAATAATAAATGCGGCAATAAAGCAACGTCTACTTTTACGTGTCATACGCTGGCACAACATTGGTTCGGACATGTAGCAAGAACGAGCTCGAGTAGGAGCCCATGCACTTGGGGATGTCCGAGAGCCACTCGGGAGGGAAATGGTGGAGCGAGTGAGATCGAAGAGCAAGCCAGGCGATTCAGAGAAGCGGCGATGCTGGCTCTTGCTAAATACGCAACGAACATTAATTCATCCCGATGGGCGCTGACCTGATGGAAAGGACGCGACGCTGGGCACGAGATAGGATTTGCTGTTCGCTGGCATCTGCGTTACATTGCGATGTTGAGGAGCCATAGCCCAACACGTTTCTATCAGCCTACTAAACACCCTTGTGTAAATTGACGAGTTTATCACAAATTGCTGCCTTTCCAGTTAACTTCCCGTCCCACGACCTGCCACGCCTGTCCTTTGTCTGTTGCTCCACAAATGTCAGTTCTTTAATTTAATGTTTTGCTTCTTTTTTTGTCTAACTATAGGTCATAAGTCACATATTGATTTCACAAAAGCCTTGGTGTAGATTGTTTTTAATGGAATTTCTCTTTAAATTTGAATTTAGCAGTTCCATAGTTTGACTATTTAAAAAAAAAGATAGATTGTATTCGAGATGAATAGACCAATTGTGCATAACAGTTTGCATATTTTACTGCTCAAGGTTAGAATGAAATATTTAGGTCCAAATGCCGAACGGTCTCCATGCTCAACTCGCTGTGAGCCAGTGATCGTCTCTCAGATTGCGACCCTCGGCGATGGACATGTTGCATCGATTTGATGGGAGCCATTCTCCTAATAGAACTGATCAAGGCTGCCTGCTACCCACTCGGGGACATCCGCATTATTGACCCGGGAGAACTGTTTGGCTGAGTTGAACCTGGCTGGGATTTTTAATTTAAATGTTTTAGGTTTTATATATCGCCGATTGAGAAAGGATGCATTGCTTTTTCTTTCTATAGCTTTAGCTTTGTACAAGTACATTGGTAGTGAAGAAGTCGTTTAAAGGGATAGATGAATGTGAAATTGTGAATATTTTAGAAGCAATGAAACGTGTATATAATTCAGATGATGATTTTGTAATGGAAAACTTGAATAGTTGTCAGTAAACAAGGCTTAGAATAAGTGTGCCGTGTCCGTCTTTGTCACGTTGTTTCACTCACACCCTGGAGATATTTTTACTTCCATTTGCTGGAAACTGGTTTCCAGAAAGTGATCGAGTGTTCGTTTGTTTCTCAATCCGCTTGTCTTGGCGAGGGTCGCAGCGGCAGCGTGTTGACTAGGGCGGTGCAGACCTCCCTTTCCCTGGCGACAGACTCTCGCTCTTCCTGGGGAAATCCCAGGCGTTCCCAGGCCAGCTGACCAACGTAGTCCCGCCAGCGTGTCCTGTGCCAGCCCAGTGGTATGTGCCCGGTAGAGGTGCCGTGGGAGTCCTCCGTGGGACATCCTTACTAGGTGCCCGAACCAACTGACTCATCTCGATCCGGAGGAGCAGCGGCTCGACTCGGTGGCTCTCCGGGATTACCGAGCTCCTCATCCGATCACGGAGAGCGAGCCCGGCAACCCTACGGAGAAACCTCAATACGACCCCTTGTACCCACGATCTCATCCTTTCGGTCATTGCCCAAAGCTCATGACCATAGGTGAGGGTGGGGATGTAGACTGACCTGTAAACCGAGAGCTTTGTTCGTGAACTTAGCTCCTGCGTCACTACCACGGAACGATACAGTGCCCGCAACACTGCAGACACCGCACCGTTCGGCCAGCCGATCTCCCGCCTCCACTTACCATCACTCGCGAAAGAGACCCCGACGTACTTAAACTCCTCCACTAAGGGCAGCTGTTCCCCCATCACCTGGAGAGAACCATGACCTCAGATTTAAACGTGCTGACCCTCGTCCCGGCCGCTTCACACATCAAACCACTCAAGTGCACGCTGGAGATGACAGACTGACGAGGCAAAGAGGGCAACGTCGTCTGAAAAAAAATTACCCGTAAAAACAAAGTTTTTCACTATAAATCCTTTATATGCGTGGTGGCTAGAGTCCTCTCGTCCTCTGGCTTGAGATGGCTGCCACCTATGGGTCAGATGATTGCCTGCCACCATTAAGCAATTGGTAATTAAATATAAAAAAAAAATTCCTAAAAAGTGTAAAGTTATGGAAAAAAATTTCACGAAAATAAATTGTCACGCACAACGAGTCTGTGTGCAAAATGTCAGCTCGATTGGATCACGGGAAGTGGGTTAAAAAACGACCGAAAGATTTGCACGGTCGTAAGTGCGCAAGCAAGCAAGCAAGTGAACTTAATATAAAGGATTTAAAAAGCAGTGACGCCACCTGCATGCCCCCGTATTGGATGCTGTCCATACCTCGACTGCGCCTTGATGTCCTGTCCATGAAAATCACAAACAGGAGTGGAGACGAAACGCATCCTTGGCGGAGTCCAACACCCACAGTGTAATAACTTTTATTTAACACTAAGAATACAGACACAGCTCTCCCGCTCCGGGAATAGAGAGACCGGATAGCGCACAAAAGCGGCACCGGTACATCGCACTCCTGCAGCGCCTCCCACAAGACATTGCAGAGAACATGGCCATGATTTCTCCAAGTCTACAAATCAGAGGTCGACCGGAGAAGCGCACTCCCGTGACCCCTGGAATATCTGTGTTCCTCCTGAATCTGAGGCTCGGCCACTGGGTGGAACCTCCTCTCAGCACTTTGGCATCAGCTTTAGCTGGGACGCTGATGAGGGTGGTTCCTCTCTAGTTAGAGCACAACCTCTGGTCCCCATTTTTTTTTAAAGGGACCCACGAGCCCAGTTTTCCAATCCAGAGGTACTGGAGTCGCCTTCCATGCAGCATTGAAGGGGCACGTTCACCACGGCACTTCGACTTGGTCCGGTGGTTTCAATAACTCCGGGCGAATCTCGTCCACCATCAGCAGCTTTGCCTTAATGGAGGCCCTTGACCGCCTCAGCGACTTCAGCAGCCGTGGTGGATAAAGTGATCGAGTGTTCTTATGAAATTGCCTATTTAACACGTAGGCTTTCGCAACCAATATTATTCGTAACTTTTTTTTTTGGGGGGGGGGGGGGGTTAAATCGCGTAAATATAAATGTGTTGTTTACCCGCCACCACGCGACAAAGACAATCGGTAAGGTTTGTCACGTAAACAAGAAGTCCCAATTTGTTACTGCTTCAACACACCGGTGTGTTGGAGAGTAAACCCACAACATTTGGAATTTAGTCACCAGCGAAACGTCGCAGTTCAAGATGCAAACATATCCAATGTGGATTGCCCGAGTCAAGGTCTCGCACTTGAGAGTCCAACAGGGTCCGTAACCTTTCCTGAAGCCCCCGGGGATGTTTTTTTGCAGCACAGTCCATTGAGAAGGACCGCGAACTGTTCTAAATTGTGCGGTGTTGGTGGGGTCTGAAGAAGGTGGTTTCGATGGTGACGGTGAAACCACTCCGGTTCTCCTTGCCGACGTCGTCTTGCCGGCAGGGTTCAACATCAGCGAAATCCGCCGCCAAAGCCGCGGCTCGTTCTGTGATCTTTACCCGTCAGGATGACTGCGATTCCCTTCGTCCTGGTCTCCCTGCCTCTGCCCTCTCTGCCCTGCAACAAATTCAAAATGCTTCAGTTAATTATCTATAATTCTCACACTTCCCCTCTCCACTGGCTACCCGTTCACTCCACCGCTGCCTTTTTAAATTCCTCACGCTCAACTTTATATCTCTTCATGGCCTTGTCCCACCTCATCTCGCCTCTCTCATCTTCCATAAACCTCCTCTCGTCCTCTTCGTTCCCTATCTTCTCTCTATCTCTCTCCCTCCCCCATGTGCCCAAATCCGTTTTCAATTCTTCTCCCTCATTGCACATCTCCACTGGAAAAAAAGTCCTCTACATTGAGCAGCACTGCTACCCCAAGTCTAAACACGGCCCATAGACTGATCACTGCCTGTAGCCTCAGCATTGCACCATAGACTCAACATTGCCCATAGACTCAACACTGCCCGTAGCCTCAGCATTGCACCATAGACTCAACACTGCCCATAGACTCAACACTGCCCATCGACTCAACACTGCCCATAGACTCAACGCTGCCCATAGACTCAACACTGCCCATAGACTCAACACTGCCCATAGACTCAACACTGCCCATAGACTCAACATTGCACCATAGACTCAACATTGCACCATAGACTCAACATTGCCCACAGACTCAACACTGAATATAGACTCAACACTGCCCATATACTCAACACTGCCCATAGACTCAACACTGCCCATAGACTCAACACGGCCCATAGACTCAGCATTGCACCATAGACTCAACACTGCCCATAGACTCAACACTGCCCATAGACTCAACACTGCACCATAGACTCAACACTGCCCATAGACTCAACACTGCCCATAGACTCAACATTGCACCATAGACTCAACATTGCACCATAGACTCAACACTGCCCATAGACTCAACATTGCCCACAGACTCAACACTGAATATAGACTCAACACTGCCCATATACTCAACACTGCCCATATACTCAACACTGCCCATAGACTCAACACTGCCCATAGACTCAACACTGCCCATAGACTCAGCACTGCACCATAGACTCAACACTGCCCATAGACTCAACACTGCACCATAGATTCAACACTGCCCATAGACTCAACACTGTACCATAGACTCAACACTGTACCATAGACTCAGCACTGCACCATAGACTCAACACTGCACCATAGACTCAGCACTGCACCATAGACTCAGCACTCCACCATAGACTCAACACTACCCGTAGACTCAACACTACCCCTGTACATGAAGCAGTCCCCACATGTCACCTGTAAATTTCATAATTTCCATGGCGTCATCGTGTCGTGAGCTACGTTAAGCGCCTTGAGTGAAGGAGCTCTCCATTTCATTCGTCCATCACGCAGTGGTCAGGCGAAAGGGCCCCTACGCCAAACCCATGACCTCTTGCGATTCGCATCGTTCCCACGAACTGCTTCTAGCCGCCCGTACACCACCAGCGGCGTCTCGAGCGATTGATTTGATCCACGGGGAGGGGGGACCACGTGGGCGGCGCCGTTCGGACGTCCACCACCAACCGAAGTGACAGGGAACAGAACAATGATCCGATCACGACTTTGGCACGTGACGAGCTGCACTGGCTACCTACTAAACGCAGCTCTGCGTCTACACGGGGCCTGCTCCTCTTCAGGGGTCTCCGTCAATCTGCTCCGTGCTATCACGCCGATCAGTGCGTGCCGTCTTCAACGGACCCAAATCGACTCCGACTGCGATCGGCGGCTCGCGGCGACCCTGCTGCTGGACCCGCCGCGCGTAAACCTCGCGCGCGATACGGCTCAGCGCGGTGGTCGGGCTCTCCGTGCCAAAGACGCTGGAACACGGCCACCAGCTCACGTTCGGGACCCATCCCTGAGTCTGAGCCAATTCAGAGACAGACTCTAAACTGCGTTGTCGTTCAAACCTAATTTGAAGCTTTCGTGACTGCAGGAATGTGTTGCATTGCATTACATTTCCAAATTTTGCTAAGTTTATTTGATTTAGTGTGTCTCCTTGTCTGTGTTTTGTCTCTCTCTCAAATGTAGCAATCTTTGGAATAACGTAATCAATCAGGTAGGGTGTTGACTGTTATGTTAGCCGACTCTCTGTGTTGTATTGCATTATATTCCTAAGTTTACTAGGTTTGTTTTCTCTTTCATTTATACCTGATGATGATTGCTTGTGTTGCAATCGAAACGTCGTATGCTATTCTTGAATTTATTATTTTCTCTTTCTACGTGACGTTTGCGTTGTCGTTGTTGCTTCAGAGAGCCCAACTCACTGAATGATCGATGCGCGCGCGTGATGGGACTGAACCCGTAAGAGCGCGCGGTAACAAATGTCCTCGCTCTTACTTTGCGAAACGTAAATAACCAAATAAATGGATTTGAATTGGTGGGAGCCCACCCTGGCGACGCGAGTCACGATGGGCGTGTGCCGGCTGCTCGGGGTCGTGTCCACGCGGGGCATCGAGACCCGTCACGGGCGCTGCGATGGATCAGCGCTGAGCGGGCGCGGCCTGCCGGGAGGTTTACCTGCAGCAGTGCGGCCGTGAGCGCCGCGCTGCGACCACGAACCCGGCCAGCCGAGTTGGATTCCCGTCCACGGCAACACTGGTGACGATTATCCAAACCGGTCCTGGGCCTCCCCTAGGTCGACTCAGCCACACAATGAGTACCCCGTGCGGTGTGTCAATGTCGCCACTCGGTAGACGACTTTACGGACGGGTCACGGGAGCAGATTTTGTTCGTAAGTCGAGGACATTGCAATTCGATGGGGGGCATCAGCCAACACGCGTTAAGACACCACTGCATTGATGAGTTATGCTGTTTGTGTATGATAGTGTTCATCAGGTGCTTGGAAACGTGATGGGTGGAGCAGTGGGCGTAGTGGTTAGCGCACCGTATGTCTGAACCTGGCAACGTGAGTTGGATTCCTGGCCACGACTAACATGACCAGCGTGGTGAAGTATGATCACACAACCTTTAATGGCTGATATGGAATGCGGTGGTCTTCATCCGGCAGTCCCGCGGGACGACACGTTTAACTTTTCTAATTTATTACAAAACATGTATTTGATGAAGTTATGTTTATTAATTTCAATGGCCAGTAATAAGACGCACACTTCACCCCAAATGGGAATCATTATCCAATTTAGCTCGTAGCTGCTCACCAATGACACATTCTAAAGTTGACAATATTTCTTAAAAGTCTGAAGTGCAAAAAGAGAAAAGCGGTCTACTTGTTGACTTCATTCACCTCTTTTATTTAAAACGGGGACACGCAGTGTGGTGTCAGGGAGTGAGCTCACTTCCCAGGTCACTCGAGCGAACGCGGGGCCGTCCATAAATGACGTCACGCGATTTGGACGATTTTTTACCCCCCCCCCCCCTCGTCACACGGCGTCACGAAAAGTCAGACCCCCCCCTCAAATATGACGTCACAAAGCTCTGCCCCTCCCCCAAATAAAACATGCTTCAAATCGCTTTAAACTATTGTCATTGCAGTGCGCATTTAATGTGGCGCTGCACTCTGATGTTGTAGGATAAAACATTTATTAAAAATGCTATTTAATTAAGTAGAACGCGTTGTCTATATTTATTTAAAGTTGCGCATTTTGATGTGACGTCACATTTCTCACCCCGCCCCCCCCCATCGTCACACATCGTCACAATGTCTGACCCCCCCCAAGGGGCGTGACGTCATTTATGGACGGCCCCGAGTCCCCTGCCTCTGAGAGCTCCCAGCGGCTTCAACAAAAAACCTTCAACCTCGACAGACAACGCGAGACCACCACCACCTCTGCCATTGCCTCATGTCAGCACTGTACTGGCCTGCGTGCTGAACTTCTTCCGCACCGTACGTAGCTAGTCCGAGGTGCTAATTTAGGATCCCTCTCCAACTTCCACCTCTTCGCTGCACCCCCCCCCCCCCCCTAGGGCAGACGTTGACAGCGGGCACGGGCTACGGAGCATGGATCCCGTGCAGGAGAAATGTCGAATGTGCGTGGGGAGCGTCAGCGCAGCACGCGGACACGGCGAGTCCAAGGTGCACGCACACCACAGGCGGCGCAGGCGAGACCCCAGCAAGTCTGGACTTGCGCGAGAAAAATAATAAAATTATCATCTAAATCACTCAACACGGATTGGTTAACGCTTGTCACTTATAATCCAGAGTGACGCCTCGCGTGTCGCTTGTTGTTGTGTTTGTTACCCGGGCATGGCAGCTGCGCGTATTGTGCGTCGTGTTGTGTGTGTTAGTCTGTAAGTTCGTTGTGAATGTTGTGGATTTGCTCTCCAGCACACAACCGATTAGTGCTGTGCTCGTCACGAATTGGCCACGTTCTGTTTACGTGACAAACCCCTTCCTAGTTGGCTGTGTCGGGTGGTGGCGGGTTTAACGACACATTTATATTTACGCGATTTAACCCAAAACACGTCTAGTATGTAACTGTGTCTGTATGTTGTATGTATCTGTGTATGTATCTATGTACCCGTGTATGTATGGTGTATGTATATTGTATGTATGTAACTGTGTGTGTAACTATGTATGTTGTATGTATGTATCTGTGTATGTATCTGTGTGCGTAAGTTGAACTTCTTCCGCACCGTACGTGGCCACGCGTGGTGATCGCGGGCGAGGCCGAGCGACGCGAGAGGGGTGAGGGGGGGGCAGCTGCGGGTCGCCCCCCCCGCGCCCTGGGGGCTCCGTCACCGCCGCCATGGGGGCTCCGCGCGGGGGCGCCAGGAGGAGGAGGCGCCGCGTGATGCACAAGTCGCCGCGTGGCCCCGCGGTGAGCGCCGGGAAGGGCCGTCACCTGACAGTGGCGCCTACGCACGAACCTCCAGCTCACCAGGGGCCATGTCACCGCCGTCTCTCGCCTCCACCGCCTCCACCGCCGCCGCCGATATTAACGCGGCAGTGACGAGTCAGACCGCGGCAGTCATCGCAAGGGACGATTCGGACATCCCCCACGCGAGCTCGGCACGAGATCCGTCTTCGTCGTGGTCATCCTGCACGTGGTGCCGAGGGGCTGCTGCTGCTGCTGCTGCTGGGAGCGCGTCGCGTGCAGGTGCCCGCGTGAGCTCGCCCGGGGGGAGTTGTCGGCACGACGACCCGAGCCGCAGCCCGAGCCGAGCGGTGACAATGGGTCTCCTTGCGTCGCGAGTGGCGTCGCTGCTGGACGGAATGTTCACTCAGCAAGCGCGCGTGCTGCTGCTGGGTTTGGACGCGGCCGGGAAAACCAGCATCCTGTACAAGCTCAAGCTCGACGAATCCGTGGTGACCATCCCGACCATCGGCTTCAACGTGGAGACCGTGCAGCCCATCAGGAACGTAACCTTCACCGTGTGGGACGTGGGCGGCCAGCAGAAGATCCGCGCTCTCTGGAGGCACTACTTCCAGAACACGGACGGGCTCCTCTTCGTGCTGGACAGCGCGGACCGGGAGCGCTTCCCGGAGGCTCTCAAGGAGCTGGACGCCATCCTGGACAGCCCCGAGATGACGCGGGTGCCCTTCGTGCTCCTCGCCAACAAGCAGGACCTCCCGCGGGCAGCGGCCACCGCGGAGGTGGCGGAGGCGATGAAGGCGGTGAAGACGCGGCACGGGCGCGAGTGGCTGGTGCAGGGCTGCTGCGCCCGCACCGGAGAGGGCCTCCTGGAGGGCGTGGGGCAGCTCTCCCGCTTCATCAGCAACTCCAGAGCCTCCTCGGGGACAAAGTGAGCTCGGCAGCAGCAGCAGCAGCGGCGGCGGTGTCACTCCAAGGCGGCGTCTCTCGTGCACGTGGGGGGGGGGGGCTTCGAGTTGTGTCCACTGGTCGAAACTTCACTCGAGCGAACGCCGTCATTCAAACCAACAGCTCGCTGTGTGTGCCTCTGCATGTGTGGATGTCTCTTGGTGTGCTGTTGCTCTGGTTGTCCCTCTGGGCTGCCCAGAAATATCTTTCCATGTGTGTCTTCTCTGTGTATGTACCTCGTGTCTGTTCACGAGTCCCTGTCCTCTGTTTTTACGTTGGCATGTTCAGCCCAGATGATGAACACGAGAGATGTATCAGTCTTTTGAAATACGTGGTCAACCAGGTGAGTGTCTGTGTTGTTGGCCGACTGGTTTGCATCACGTGATTGTTTCTAAGGTCTGTTGAGTTTCTCGTCTCCCATCTTCTTGTTGCATTTGCTTACGTGTAGTTCGCCCTTCTCTATGTGCTATGTACGTGATGTCCCCCTGTGTGTTCCCTCTTTCTATGTTTCACCCCATTTTCACCTGATGATGAGCGCTTGTGTTGCGTTCGAAACGTCGTGATTTATTTAAATTTAATTTATTAAAATTTTATTTTATTTCTACATACGTGTCTTTACCGGAAAAAAAACAATGAGTAAAACAGCTTGTTGTGAAAGACCCAATGCAGAAGATCGCTGGGTTTGGTCTTCCACGAAGCTGCTCACGGTCCACCCTAAACCGCAACCACTGCACAAAACACGGCAGTAGATGCGGATACCCTGATGCACAAACGTTAAATTAGAAACTCTCCAGGAGCCTGCGACTGTGGCCATCCAGAACAGACCGTGCAACGTGTAACGGCGCAATGCCCGGTCCACAAACACGACGGAGACGTCACAGCGAGACACTCACTACCACTGCTTCTCACGCGGTGATCTTGGCTTGCCCACCTGGATGTGACTTCATAGTCGTCTGCTGTGCACCTGCATCAGCAGCCACACGAACGAAGCAGCAGCAGAAGAAGAGAACGCGGTCGCGTCCACGTGCACGCGCCACGCGACTGCGCGTGCCTCTCGCTGCGAGTGAACCTCCGCATCGTCGTCAACTGCGGACTGCAGGTTCACATTCGACGTCGGCTGTCGCTCTGTGATTCCACACTGGGGGGCAAACGCCTCCCCCGAGTTGATTCCGTTGCGCGCTTTCCTTGCAGCCGTCGCGTCGCGGCCTCCAGATGCTTTGGGTTCATCTCGCCATCTCTATGGGTCAACTTTGACCGCTCGTGGTTTAGATATATATATGTGAATGGCATCTGTAAATTAAAAGCGGCACAATCTCTGCAAGTTCTTTTTCATTGAAGGCACTTTAATGGCTCGTCTCATTTTCAGAAATACTTTTATAGACCAATAACATTTCCGAACATCTGGAGATAATTGTAGGATATATTTTTCCCGTCTGTCATACAATGAGATTGTTTGACCCTAATGGTTAAATTCGTCAACTTACTCAATTTCCGTGCCCTTTGCGTTCACATGTTCTCTTAAACTGTCGTCAATTTACTTGTTGCTGGCTTTGCACTGCTCCATAAAATCTGTAATAAATTTTGAAACCTATTTTCGTGATAAATAATAAACTAGACAATGTAATCAGCGCAATGTAAATGTTTTAAATGTTTATGGTTCATATTCTCTCTGATTTCGTTACCCCGATGGTGATACGGGCGTTACCTTCACTGTTCGTGTCCTTCAGAGTGACAGATTGTTTACACTCCTCGTTGTCTTACACTCGCTAACTACGGATGGTGTACAGGACATGTAATGGAATGCCTTGTGGTATAAATCTATGACAGCTTGATCAATGTATTTGCCGTACGCATTGTACTTGTCTGTTATTTGATTGAAGGTGGCCTGATGTTGATAATGATTTCATGAATTCTGTTTTCTTCGTCGGTTTGTTGTTGTCTAATGTATCACATTTTTAGTGGATAATGTTGATGAATATTTTGTAGATGCACGAACCGAGGCTGATAGTCGTATGATTATTAAGATCCAATCGTCACGTTTGTGCAATAAATAGTTTGGGATCAGACAGTGTCGTTACCGTTAAATGTTCTCGGATTGTGCGACCTGATTTACATCTTGCTTCAAGCAGTTCTTCTTGACTCGAGTTTAAGATTGTTGCCCAAGTTTTCATCTTCGGACGATCGCACGATTTAACGTGCCTATTAACGATGTAAAAGTATCCCTAGACGCAGCTGATGATACAACTACTGGCTCCACAGAAGCAAATGAAACGTGTTACTGCATTTTAGAGCCTTAACATTCACCACTTATCATCAGCGCCTCCAGCCTACCACTGTCGAAGATATGGGGATGAGGCACCAGTAGCCGTCCTGCAAACCTCAAGGGTCAGAATCAGAACCTTTATTCATACCGGAGGAATCCGATGAGCTATAAAGCTCTTTTTCACAGGTGTCCAGTAGAGACACGGGGTCAGAACGTTACAACAAACAATACAAAAACACGAAAGGAGTGGAAAAGATAGGAAAGAGGAAAAAAATATATTTAAACATAAATATACAAATAAAACTAAACGTGTGTTTTTATTTTCCAGATAAGGCCCACTGAACTATATATATTCTTTTTAAGAAGCGACCCGGCCACAAATTTTAGCTCAACGAAGCGGCTTATCACGTGGAAATTTATAATAGCAAAGTAATATAAATAATCTAAACGCTTGAAAGTTGATTCTAAATGTGGAGTGAATCCCGGAGGACAATCCACAAGACCACGGGGAGAGAGAGAGACATTCACACTCCAACTATACAACAAACGTCAGGGTGAGGATCGAACCCAAGCCCTCCTGTATACCAGGCGAGGTAGTTAACATCTCGCCACCGTGGCGCTGTCCACACACGGCAGGCCGAGTCCAGTGACTCTGCAAGAAAGAGACGTCACCATCTGCGGGTCACCCAATGTGTGTTGCCGGAGCAAGGTCTCCTCGCTCTCGGGAGTCCAATGGGGTCTGTCACCTATCCTGAAGCCTCACATATCAGAACGACCGCGAACTGTTCTACATTGTGCAGTGTTTGTGGGATCTGAAGAAGGTGGTTGCGATGGTGACGGTGAAACCACTCCGGTTCTCGTCGTCTTGCTGGTAGGGTTCAACATCAGGGGAATCCGCCATCTCATTTCAGTTTCTGCCGCAACAGCCCCGGCTCGTTCTGTGATCTTTACCCGTCAGAATGACTGCGATTCCCTTCGTTTTGGTCTCCCTGCCTCTGCCCTCACTCCCCTGCAACAAATTCAAAAGGCTTCAGTTGATTATCTTTAATTCTCACACTTCCCCTCTCCACTGGCTTCCCGTTCACTCCACCGCTGTATTTTCAAATACCTCACGCTCGACTTTAAATCTCTTCATGGCCTTGTCCCACCTCATCTCGCCTCTCTCATCTTCCATAAACCTCCTCGCATCCTCTTCGTTCCCTTTCTTCTCTCTATCTCTATCCCTCCACCCTGGCCCAATTCCGTTTTCAATTCTTCTCCCTCATTGCACATCTCCACTGGAAAAGAAGTCCTCTACATTGAGCAGCCCTGCTACCCCAAGTCTCAACACTGCCTATAGACTCAACATTGCCCACAGACTCAACACTGCCCACAGACTCAACACTGCCCATAGACTCAACATTGCCCACAGACTCAACATTGGCTATTGACTCAACACTGCCCATAGACTTATCACTGCCCGTAGAATCAACATTGCACCATAGACTCAACACTGCCCATAGACTCAACATTGCCCACAGACTCAACACTGCCTATAGACTGATCACTACCCGTAGAATCAACATTGCACCATAGACTCAACACTGCCCATAGACTTTCGCGACCAATGTTATTCATAATCAACGTTTTTGGGTTTAGATCGCGTTTATTTATAAATGTGTCGTAACCCTCCACCACCCGACACGGCCAATCAGTAAAAATGTGTCACGTTGACAAAGACAAATAGTTTACTGCTTTAGCCCACCGGTGTGTTGAAGCCACAACATTTACAATTTGAGTACGACGTTTCGCTGGTAATTGCAACCAGCATCATCGGGCAATTCGCCAGAATGGTTCTGGCGAACATTGCCCACAGACTCAACACTGCCCACAGACTCAACATATTTAGGCTCGCTGGTCTCGTCATGAAACTGCAATGAAAAAGCACCAGGGGAGGTAGCCATCACATTTGCCTCACTGAGGGGGATGCGTCTAACACGCCCCCCTCCGTGAGGCCACGTCCCCCTCAGTGTGTGAATCTGGCTCTGACACAAGCCAGTGCCTCTCCAGCCATTGACCTCACCACACGTCACTGCAAACCACCCACCCATCTCCTCACTCAACCACCCACCCAGTCGATCATCCACCCACTAACACGCACCCACCCAACAACTCACTAACCCACCCAGCACTCACTCACCGAGCCAGTCAATCTCTAACTCAACTACAATTCACCCAGTCACTAACCCACTCACTCAATTTATAACCCACCCACTACCCACATAACCTGCTACCCACACACTCACTCATCCACAAATCCACTCAACCCCTCACTCATCCATCCACTCACATACTCACCCAGCCACTCACCTACTCACCCAGTCACATACACATCCACTCACCATGCCACCCACTCAATTTCTAACCCACCCACTCGCCCAACCACTCCCTCAGCAACTCACCCACTAACCACGTAATTATTCACCCACCCACCCATCACTCAACCACCCAATAATTCAACCACCAAAACATTCAACCACCCACTAACTCAACCACCCACTACCACCCACTAACTCAACCACCGAGCCACTCACACTCACCCACTCACCCACCCACCCACTCACCCGCCCACTCACCAACACACTAAACTAAATCTAAATTGTGGTTTTTAACCAGGTAAGGCCGATAGAGCTAAACATCTTTTTCAGAAATGACCTGGTTAAAAATTATAGGTCAACGAAGTGGCTTATGACATGTATTGCAGCCAAATCCTATAAATGCTTGTTGATTTTAAATGTGGAGGGAAATAT